TGTAGTAATCTTCTGAGTTTCATTGGTATTTGTTGTAATATCTCCCTTTTGATCTCTAGTTCTATTGATTTGGGTCTTCTCTTCCAATTGTTTGGCTAAAGGTTTGTCAGTCTTGTTTATCTTTATGAACAACCAACTCCTTACTTCATTGATTCTTTGTATTATTTTTTGGTTTTCATTTCCTTTATTTCTGCTGTATCTTTTTATTTCCCTCCATCTACTGATTTGGGTTTGGCTTGCTCTGGTTTTTCCCTGGCCTTAAGGTGCATCATTAAGCTCTCTGTATTTGAGACCTCTCTGATTTTTTAAATGTAAGCATTTGTAGAAATAAATATCCCAATTCTGCTTTCATCATGTGCCACAGGTTCTAGTAGATTATATTTTTGTTTTCACTGGATTCTAGAAAATTTTAAATTAGCCTCTTGATCTTCTGAATGACTCATTTATCTTTCAATAGTGTGTTATTCAATCTCCATGAGTTATGTTCTATCGTTTCTCTTGGTGTTGACTTTATTTTGTTGTAATAAAACATGACATAATGCAGGAGAATGGGGAAGGGTACATGGCAGGGCTTGAAGTGAGCCAGAGGGAGGAAGAAGTGTTGTAATCAAATTATAGTCTCAAAAATTAAAAGAGAAAATATAAGAAATGACTTGAATTTTCTTGTACTTTTAAGGTTTGTTTAGTGTCCTCAAATGTCATCTATTTTAGGGAAAGCTACATGGGCTTCTGAGAAAAATGTGTTCTGCAATGTTTGGGTGGAATATTCTGTAGCTGTCTGTTAAGTCCATTTGATCTTCAGTGGCATTTAGCTGTGATGTTTCTTTGGTGGTTTTTGTTAGTTTAGTTTTGTCTGTCAGATGACCTATTTATTGGTGAGAGTGGGGCACTATTATTATGCTGAGATGATCTGTACTTTTAAGCCCACTGGTGTCTGTTTTATGAAGTCAGTGTGTCAATATTCAGTGCATATAGGTTTACAATTACAATATCCTCTTGGTAGACTGTGCCTTAGTACACAAGGTTTACAATTACAATATCCTCTTGATAGACCATCCCTTCATCAATACAAAGTAACCTTCATTGTCTCCTCTACTTAATTTTGGTTTGATGCCTACTTGGCCAGCTATTAGTATTACTATGCCTGCTTGTTTTCTAATTTCTTTTGTATGGAATATCGTTTTCCATTCTTCCACGTTGAAGCTGTGCTCATATATTCCAGTGAGGTGGGTTTCTTGTAGGTAATAAATAGATGGGCCTTGTTTTTTAATTCAATCTACCAGTTTGTGTCTTTTGATTAGAGGATCAAGACCGTTACTATCCATAGTTATTGCTGGAAGCTTTGCACTGACTACTGCCTTTTGGCTACTTTGTGGTAGTTGGTGCTTCCCTTCTCCTCACTTGCTTATATGCCATCCTAGTGCAGTTTATTCTTTCCTGTGGCTGCACGGGTATTCTTTCACTACAGTAGATAGAGTCCTTCAGATACCCTCTGTAGTGCTGGCTTAGTGGTCATGAATTTCTTTAGCTTGCTTTATCATGTAAGTTTTTTCTTTTTCTTTAAATTGTAAAGGATAATTTTGTTGAATGTAGTAATCAGGGTCAGTAGTTATTGTCTTTCAGACCTCAAATATACTGTCCCATGGTCTCCTGGGTTTCCGAATTTCTGTTGAGAAATCTGCTGTTACATCAATGGAGTTGCCTTTATATGTTACTTGGTCCTTTTCTCTTGAAGCTTTCAAATCATCTCTGTAGACTTCATGTGTTATTTAAAATTTGATGTGGGAATTTCTTTTCTGGTCCTTTATGCCTGGCATTCCCAATGGCTCTTGTGTCTTGTTGGTCATCGCTTGCTCCAGGTTAAGCAGCTTTCTGCTGGGCTTTTATTGACTATGGTTTCCATGCCTTTAGTTTGAACTTCCCCCTCTTCTATGTTCATGTCTTTGATGGCATCTCTTAGGCCTTGGGTGTTCTGTTGTGCTTTCTTATTATTTTATCTTTGTGATTGTCTCAATGTTTTAATTTGTCTACTTCATATCCAAGTCCTGATATTCTGTCTTCCACTTAATTTATTCCATTGGTGAGTTTCTCCACTGAGGATTTTCTTCCTTATTGAGCTTTTCATTTCCATTCTCCCTCTCCCCATTTTTCATAGCATTTCTCTCTATTGAATTTCACTTTACTATGCTATATTGACATCTTTATTTTATTCTTCAGGTTTTGTGTGTGTGTGTGTGTGTGTGTGTGTTTACTCTTTGTGATTATTCTGGGGTGTATTCGTGTCCCCTTTGAGTCTGTGCAATGTTCTTATCTTTTTTTTTTATTATTGTTACCTAGGATTACATCTCATCCAAGTTCATTGTAGTCCATTATGGTGGAGTCAGTGGTTTTCAGTAGTTTCATTGCTGGGTTTTTAAAAAATATATTTCTTGTGTTTCTACATTGGGTTTTGTGCATTAGGTTGAAAGCTGGATGCTTTTGATCTTACTTGGAATTATTTGTTTATTCTAACTATTTGGAATAGTCGGGTGGCGGTAGGTTATAGAAGGCTCAAGATGTCATGTATCCTCACTGGCCTGGGTGTGTGACTAAACACCCAGTTTGTGTGCTTGCACTCCAGCTTTGCTGCAAGAGTACAAGCCTGTCTTCATAGTGGCTGCAAACAATATATGGACCCATGAAAATACAGTAGTAGTCTGATAAAAGCAATCACCCTTCAATTTGGAGGGAATAAGAAGCACAAATAGAATGTCATGTCCTGAGATATTAGTCACTTCAGGTAGGGAGGGAAGTAAACCAGAGAGTAATGCTAGAGGTTAGTATTAGAGCAACAGAGAAAATACAAGAGGAGATACACAGGAGAACAAAATGGATAAGGGAGAAGATAAGGCAGCTCCGAGTGGCTATCAAGCCAAAAGAGAATTGCTAAAGAATGCAGTCAGGGCTGGGCAAGGGCTCAGTCAGTCAGTGCTTGCCATGCAGGCATGGGGGCCTGAGTTTGATTCCCAGAACCCACGGAAAAGCCTGGCATGGTGCCACACACTTGTAACCCCAGTGCTGGGAAAGCAGAGGCAGCCAAGTCTCTGAGGTCCAGTGACCAGCCAACCTACTCTAATCAGTGAGAGACCCTGACTCAAAAAGAGACCCTACTCAGGTAGCTCAGGTAGGTAGCACCTGAAGAATTACATCTAAGGTTGACCTATGGCCTCTACATGTGTGGGCCAACATATGTTTGAACACACACACAGAGAGAGAGAGAGAGAGAGAGAGAGAGACAGAGAGAGAGAGAGACAGAGAGAGACAGAGAGAGAGAGAGACAGAGACAGAGAGACAGAGAGACAGAGAGACAGAGAGATGCAATCAGCAGCAGCCTGAAACAATCCCAACACTTGGGAAACCGAGGCAAGGAGACTCCCAATCCCACACCAACCGGTGCAATCTATCCCTTACAGGACTTGGGTAATGACTCTGCCGTGTGAGGACTCTGGAGTTTTCATAGAGGAAGGGCATTGGTGCTGGTCATTTCAGGGGTGGCTCAGGCAGAGGACCTTCCTGTGCGTGTTCTGGTGTTCATGTTCACTAGAACATGAGTGATGCTGCTGCCTCCGTGGGCTCTCACTTAGGCAGATGCTTGGCACAGGTGCCGGCCCTGTCTTGTGTGTGCTCTCACAGGGGTGGGGTGCTGGTATAAATCCTTCCTCTGGGAGGTTCTCCTGGAGGTCCAGCAGGTGCAGGTCCTGCCTCTGTGCAGGCTACCACTGGGTGAAGGGCAAGTGCTGGTCCTGTTTCTATGTGTCCGGTGGAGACTGGCTCAGACTAAATTGCCCCTTTGTAGAACACTGTGCAATTTTGAGTCACAGTTCCTTCTTCTATCTGATCTAGAGGTAATCTGCCAACAACATTTCAGTCTCATCCTGGACACTCGCTGTGGGTTCCCAGTGTGAACTGAGCAGCTGCCCCAGCGGGCATCTCCTAAAGTTGGCTCCTTGCCACTGCTACTGATAGAGTGCCTCTTAGGATGGCTGCTCTCCAACTGCCACTAGGGTATTCACTTCTGGGCACACTTTTCCATTGTTGCATTCCTGAAGTCATTAGCAAGCACCAGGACTGCTTATTTCAAAATCTGCTAAATTATTAGTGTTGTGAGACTGTTTCCTGGGGAGACGAGCAAACAGCTCTTCACTCCAGATAGGAAACCAATGGCAGAAGGAAGAAAAGATTCCATCCATGTCTAGACTGGTAAACCAGTCCAATGAGTTTAACAGGAAAGTGGGAGCAACTGAACAACTGGAGAGAAACTTTCTCCCCCAGGAACTGATAGCCTAACTCCTCAGAGGCAGGTCTTCATGAGACCCTCCCCCTCTGAATCATTAACTGCCTATAAAATCTCAAGGAGGGGTAGGATCTTATTAGCACCCGGCCCCCAACAATGGTTAACTGCCTATAAATGCTCAGGAAGGGCTGGGACCTGCCTTGTCCCTCTCCCACTCCATGATGGAATGATAATGGGCTCCATCTTGTGCTGGTCTGTTGTGGGTAGGAAATCACAGCTGCTGAGAGTTCAAAGGAGGCTGGAAGACAGCATGCTACAACAATTTGAATTGAGAAGAACCCAGAGCAAGTGTTTATTCCAGACCTAGGGATCAAGAAACACAGAGGCCAGTTAGTGGGTCCTTGATGTTCATCCTGAAGAGGATGGTGATTTGGACCAGAGCAGAGCAAGCAGGGAGGTGCTAGGGGATGGGGTAGGGGAACAGACTGGCTTGTTCTAGTTCTAGGTAACTTTGAAAGACAGGGTCAACAAGTTTGGGTTACAGATTTCATGTGGCATATGAGGAACGAGGAAAGGGTTAGAACAAGGAGCAACGGGAAGGATGGGGTGTCCAGCCTCGCTGGGAATCTTGGGTGGAATGATGATGACGGGAGGCTATGCGAGATGAGGTGACCCTCTGCTGGCATCTCCCGAGCTGACTCCTGTCTGCTCTTTAATGCCCTTCCAGGTACTTCTTTAACTGTGATTGCCTCATCCCCCTCAAGAGAAAGAGGAAGTACTTCAAGGTATTTGAGGTTACCAAGACGACAGAGAGCTTCGCCAGTAAGATCCAGAGCCTGGTACCAGTCAAGTACGAGATCATCGTGACGACCGGCTACGAACCAGGGGCAGGCACAGACGCCAACATCTTTGTGACCATCTTTGGAGCTAATGGGGACACGGGCAAGCGGGAACTGAAGCAGAAAATGCGCAACCTCTTCGAGAGGGGCAGCACTGACCGCTTCTTCCTCGAGACTCTGGAGCTGGGAGAGCTGCGCAAGGTCCGGCTGGAGCATGATGGCAGCGGCTACTACTCAGGCTGGCTGGTGGAGAAGGTGGAGGTCACCAACACTAGCACTGGGGTGGCCACCATCTTCTCTTGTGGCAGGTGGCTAGACAAGTCTCGGGGGGATGGCCTCACCTGGCGAGATCTCTTCCCATCTGTCTGAGATGCTCTGGCCATACCTTTTACCCTCTACCCTAAGGATGGGGCTATGGCAGCAGTCCTGAGGTCTCTACTCATCAGAGGCTGCTCCTTGCAAGTGACTGTGGAATCCTCCACTTTTCCATCTCTCAGACATATAAGAATTATATTCGTCACAAGTCATAACCCATGACTGTACGAACTATTTTTTTTTTAATTTCCTTTCCTTTTCATAGCAGTGGTACCCAGGCTGGGGCTTGCTGTGGGGTGTGGATGGAAAATCGGGGCTTTACTCAGGGGAGATAAGTGGAGAAAAAGAGATTATCAAGATGTGTATTTTAAGCAAAAACTAATTAACACTTTTTTCCCAAAAAAGCTGGGCTAATTAAATTATTACCAACCACACCCCACAGAGAGCTCATCTGAGCATCTGCGTGCTAAGAAATGTATGTTTTCCCCCCAGTTCTAACAAATCCAGAGGCAAATGCGGAAAAACATCAGGAGGAAGTGTTGGGGGACCTATGAGCCTGTGAAAAGTGGATAATTCTTTCCACCACTTAACAGAGACCAAGAGAATGGGTGCTCGCAGCTCCTGACACCTTGATCTTCCCCACCCCTGCCTCCATCTGTCTGTCTCTCTGTTTCTCTACCTGCCCCCCCCATTCTGCTCCTCTTAGCGCCTCCACCCCCATTACAGTGTGGAGAGGATCCTCAACTCAGAGTCCACACTGCTTCTCTGCCACAGCCCTCTGACAAGAGCTCCGTGGTGGTCTCATTATGGAATGTGGCACCTTTCTCCATCCCTGTCTCAAGGGCAGAAAGCATCTCCTGATTCATTCTGTTAATGATGTGTTACCTAACTCTTGGCTTGCTGCTCTTGGGATGGGGCAAGCCGGGCTCCACCATGTACCGGGCTTCATTATGTACCAGGCTCCACCACGTGCCGGGCTCCACCATATACTGTACACAGCCGAGTTTCTCATCATCTTCCACCTGCCCTGCTTGCTTTGTGTTCCTTGGAGGGCTTGTCAGGATCTGAGGAAGCCATTACTGGAAACCCCCAATTAAACTATTGATGCTTCTGTTCACTTGGGTGTACGTTTGCCCACCCCCACTTCACCCACCCACCCACTCCCCAGGTTCCTGAGACCTGGACCACCTCTAGCTTGGGAAAGTCGCTTACAGCTCCAAGCCCAGAATGCAGCTCTCCAGCAGTGCCTCACATCTGCCTTCCCCCCCCACCCCGTGCCCCACCCAAGGCTCTCCTCCCTGCTCTACGTTTCCTTGCTACCCACCCACCCCTCCATTTCACCAGGCCCTGCATTTTATGTTCTTCGTCTCAGTTCAAGGTCTTTATTGACTGCCATGAAATCCTTCCATTATCTCCCCCTCAAGATATATCTGGGAGGCCAATGAATGGTATGTTGTGGGTGTGTGCGCCTCTCTAACTGGACCATCAGTCTTCAAGAAGGACCAGAAGGTCTAATTCATCTCTGTAGCCCTAGAACTTATAACAAGGTCCAGGGTGGAGTGTGTGTATTAAACTCATGTGATACTGGAAGACTAGTATACAGAAGGAAGGAAGGAAGGAAGGATAAGGGAGTGAATAAATGCTTGCTTATGTAAGTAAGTGGGTGGTAGATGGAAGAGAGAGAGGATGGGTGGATGGATGGGTGGATGGATGGATGGATGGATGGATGGATGGATGGATGAGATAGTGATTGGGTGGATGGAGGGATAAATGGTTTGGGTAGGTTGGTGGGTAGGTAAATTATCAGTGAAAGGATAGGTGGTTAGATGTGCTGTTGAGAGGGTAAATGGATATATATGAACTGCTGAATTAATTTCAGAGCTTATAATGCCCTCCCCTCTCTGTTGAGACTCATGTTGGCTCAAGATCTTGGAGATGCTCAGTTTCATCACTTATAGCCAGAATTCTTTCAAGAGCAAACCATTCTTGATCTTGATCCTTCAACTACTCCCCATGAATCCTTCCTAGCCAGTCTGAGTCATTTCTCCAAAGGTCTGTTGCCTAATCTTTTTGTAACATACCTCTCCATTAATGGAATTCCTAAGTACATTAATACCAGATTAAAAATTGTACTTGAAATATGCATATTATATATTAGCTGACAGTTTCCACAAGCTTATCTCTGGAGTGTATGAAAGAAAATTGTTCAGGGGAATCTCATGTTAAGCCCTTTGTCTCAGGGAACTCCTATGTATTGCTGGGGCTGGAGAAAGTGAATACCAGAAGTCCTGGTTCAGTCTTGAGCTATTCATTTCTTGAAAACTTATAGAAGAGTTTCCTGGGCTTATAGTTTCCCAGGGTGAGTCCATGACCATCATGACAGGGAGCATGGCAGCAGGCAGGCAGGCATGGTACTGGAGCAGGAGCTGATAGCTTACATGTTGAGATAACAATCACAAAATAGAGAAAGAGCTAACAGAGAATGGTGTAAGCTTTTGAAACCTCAAACCCCGCCCCCCGTGACACACCGCCTCCAACAAGGCCACACCCCTAATCCTTCCCAAATAGTTCCACCAACTGGGAACCAAGTATTCAAATATATGAGCCTAGCTATGAAGGCCATTCTCATTCAAGCCACTATGCTAGGCAATGCTGGGGAAGAATGGTAAGCAATAAAAACTCTGACCTCCTGGTACTTACAGTCTATTAATTAATAGACACCCCTGGAATATGATGTCAAGACTTGAATATGGAGTAAGAGTCTGGGTCAAATCCTGTGTCCTCCTAGCTCTATAACCCTGGGCAAGTCGTGGAAATTCCCTCTGTCTCCATTTCCTTTGGAAACTAGGAACAAAGCCAATGTTTTAAGTACCTGGCTTAGCAGGTTCACGTGAGGGCCTAGGAAGTGTGACTACCCCATCCTCCAGGAGTTGGTGATAGACGCTCGGTCACTGCTTTCATGCTCTACCCAGCTGTGGCCTCTACGGGGACAAGAATAAAATCTAAGCCTTTCTTTCCTCAGAAAGAGACTACAGCCTGGGAGCCACCCTACCACTGTGGAGGGAGAGGCTTCCTGGATGACTTCAACCTCAGGAGTAATCAGTGAAAGAGGGGGCAAACTATAAAGACGAGCATTGGTTTCAGGGTCGGCCATGCTTCCTCCTGCCCGGTAAATACACACCTTGACTTTGTCTCTGCTCTGTCCTCCCAGAACTGGGCTCCTGCCCATGCACAGCATCGTTGGCAGAAGACTCCCATGTCCAGGGAGCTGATCCTTTATAACAGCTGGTGAGGCTGAAATGCATCCTCCTCCCACCCCACCCCATCCTTCTGGAAATTACAGAAAGAAGTTCTCTAAATGCCTTAACATTACAGAACCTTCTGGAAATGCCTTCAGTCACACCTGCACCAGACAAAGGAACATTCCAGCCCGGCGTGGCTGGCGGAGCTTGCTCACAAACTAGGTTCTCCTCTAGACTTCTCACTCATGCAGTCAGCATCCAGGAGCTAGGTGCTTTGACCCATACCCTTTCTCTTGTGGAATTGCCTCGCCCTCTGCCCAGAAAGCCACATCTTCAGTCCACTGAAGGACACCAGCACTGTGTGACCTTGTTGGCTTGCTTGGGCAATTCTGAGGCTCTCATCTTTTCTTCTGATCACTGGTCCCTATACCCATGCAAGAAATAAAACACGCTCCCCAAGAGTAGGCGAGAGTGGACGTCAGAGTCTCAGAGGACAGAGCCAGGATTTCCATGTTTAGGTGTGCAGCCAAGTGTGGTAACCCAGGCCCTTAGCCCCAGCACTCAGGTGGCGGGGCGGGGGGTGGGGGGACGCGGGGGATTGGCAGAGGCAGAGGTGGATAGACCTCTGTAAGTTTGGAGCCTTCCAGGCCAGCCAGAACTACACAGTGAGACACTGTCTTTTAGAACAACAACAAACAAACAAACAAACAAAAAAAAACCAATAAGGTGTGCAGTTCTTGTTCCCACCATTGCTGAGGTGATGGTCCCTGGTCCAGGGTGACCCAACAAGCTTGTCAGAAAGCAGATGAATCCTTATCAGAAGCATGGGCACAGAAGAACTCAGGAAGGCCCAGCAGGGAGTGGTGTGGGAAAAAAGCCCAGGGGTCTAACTGCTCATTAGACTGGATCAGCTCACCTCCTTGTAGGTGCTCACCCCCACCTCCCTGGGGACACTCTAGTGTTCCTTGTCCTGGAGATGCTTTATCACACTGGCTCCTTGACCCCTAAAATGTGTTAGTTTTCTTGGCCAGTTGGTTCCATCCCATTGACCTGCTTCCATCTTGTGAGACTTTGAGACATCTATTGTCTCCTAGACCAGTAGATCAAGCGTTTCCTCTTGTGTGATCCTTGGCCAAAGTTTTCAGAGAAAACAAGTTTTAATCTTCAAATTCAAGTGGAGTTACCTCCAAGTTTTGCTTTCCATATTCTGGTTGGAGATGAACAATGAATAAATTCAGATTAAGCATCGCCCTAATTAGAACATTTGAAATCCAAAGTATTCCAAAATCTGAAGCTTTCTGAATGCTGATAGGATACCACAGGTGGGAAATTCCACAGCCAACTTTCTGAAGGGTCACTGTCAAAACACAGGTGCACCAAAAATATGGCACAAAGTTACCTTTGGGCTGTGTGTATAAGGTTCATATGAGACACGAGTGAATTTTTGTGTTTCAACTTGGGTCCTATCCCTAAGACATCTCATTATGTATATGCAGATATAATGCAAAATCTGAAGTACTTCTGGCCTCCAGCATTTCACAGGAGTGATGCTGATGCATGCAAGTACACACGCGCGTGTGCACACAGACACACACACACTCACATATGTGTGTGTATAAAATTTTACTTCATGTATTATTGTCATTAGCTAACTAAGTCAAGACCACTAAGTATGGTAGTGTGTTTCCTGTAATCTCAGCACGTGGGAAACCAAGGCAGGAGGATTGCTAGTTTGAACTCAGTCTGGCCTATATGTGATAAGAACCTGTGCCAGAAACAAAACAACAACAAAAATAAAACAAAGCCTCCCCTCTTAAAGTCATCCATACAGAAACATAAATAAAAACACATCTCTAATTTTTAATAAAATGTAAAACACCAGTCTCTAAACAGGAACTCAAATCCAATGGAGATTTAAGTACTAATGAGAAACCGGAGACAGACACTCATCTGCCCACCCTCCAAATGAAAAGTAGAAGGTACCCAACTCTGCTGATGGACAAACAGCCCTTTCATGTCACATGGATGCTTCTGTTGCAAGAGAAAAGCAGGACTATAGAGGGTCTCTTACCACAGGTCACATGGGGCCCTACCTCATCACTAGGCTCCTTCCCCACCCCCTCTGCTGCTGTCCAAGTCTTGTTCCATGTCCCGTACGGGGACCTCCACAGTGTGGTGAGCATTAGATGCCTGGTACCAACCCACCTTTGAGTACCCAAAATGCTGTTTTGGATCCCACATCATCAGAGCTGAGAAAGCACATATCTGGACTAAGCTGGGTTTACTTTCACCAAAATCTTGGCTGAAAAGAGCTCTCTAGCCTGCCACCTGAGAAAATCAGACAGGACTGCTTTGGTTGAGCCTACTTAGAGCACAAGTGTTTTCTAGACTTCATGCAACCATTTATGTGTAAATAGCTTGTGCTAATAGCAGGGGGTTTTATCTTTAAAGTAGACCCCCAGGGATATTTATTTGGAAATACTTTGTTAGGAATTATTCGGAAGCAATACAACTATAGCTCTCTCCAAATAGTCTTGAATGCACAATTGTTCCTAAATTGTCGAGAAAGGATGGAGCTCAACCAGCCACCCTTGAGAGAGAGAGAGAGAGAGAGAAAGAGAGCTTGCTACCTGTGCGAGCTCTCATTCCCCCAGAGATGCTGGAGTGGAATGAGCAGCTGGGGAGATGGAAACTCCATCTTCCTTTTGTTTGCTTGACTACGAGGAGCACACAGTCAAGCTCTAGCAAAGAGCAAGGCCAGAGAAAAGATGACATACCGACCCATCTGTCCGTTACAGAGCAAGTCCAGCAAAAAACCTGGGGCCCTGTCACTCGCAGGGAAAGATGGGTGCAAAGGGAGCTT